TATTATTTCTAATGCTGGTCTAAGGTCACCATCTTTAAGCTGCAGTTCATCTTTGACTGCTTTACTTAACTTGTATACCTTCTGTGATCATTTTGATTATTAGATTAGCTTTTATATTAGATTATTTAGATTTAGATTATTCAGCAGGCCCCAGAAATGGACTGAAAAGTAAGATTTCATTCATCATTACAGGATGGTGTGCAGCCAACAGCGCGACTGTTTCAAAACAAAGGAAGTACTGGTGAATTATGGCACTGTGTTAGTCCAGCTTTGGTCCTCAGAAAGTTTTTCTTTGTAAATCAGCTGAAACTGTTACTGGAGTTAAAATCATCCACATGCTGGGAAAAACTGGATGTTTATCCTGGACCAAGAAATGTTTGTATAAAGTCAAGCAAGACCTAAATTTAAGTTTAGTTTAAGTTGAGTTCGTTATTCGACTCAATATTTCTGTAATAACAGAGAAACCAACCAAATCATTGCCTCCTAATTAAATATCAGAGAGACCGTGCTGTACGACTGTATACTGAGTATACTGACATTTTTCTTTTCTTTTTGTTTGGTCCTTGTGGCTACGTGCCTCTATGGGCTTTACATTATTGCACGGTTTTAAAGAACATCGTGCAGTTTGACTGCAGCTCAGAAATCCCATTGAAAGAATTGCACCCAAACACACATCAGGAGCTAATACACACTGCTGAGAGGACGTCTTTCCTCCTTTTTGAAATATTAATAAAAAAACATAACAGGATCTTTAAATACAGTCATTCGTAGCTTTTGATATTGTTTAGCTTTGCGGTCTGTGATGAATCAATCATCAAAAGAAAGCTCTGCAATTTCAAGCTTTTACGTCAGGCTCAGTAGTTCGGACACTCGTATCCACATGAAGTCTGCATGAAACACATCAGCTGCTTTCTTACCAGTTTTCCTCTCTGCTGGGCTGAGCGTGTCTCCCTCAGCGCAAAGACATTGCCACAGACTGAGATTTCTCTCCAGACCCCAGGAGCCGGCTCAGACACAAACTCGCCCGCTGGGTGCATGACCAGCACACCGTTGGTAGTCAGACCATCCATCAGGCCATCTGATGTTCTCCATTTGGCAGCCCGCTCCTTAGATTCCCCACATGGACACACACAGAGCAGATATTCAGGTTAACGTGAAGACTGTGAGGTGCTGGAGGCCGTTGTTAGAGACGGTTAGTAAGAAAACAGCTATGGCTGCGTTTTCCCTCAGTATAGACCAATGTACTGACTAAAGCACAGAGATGCACCCACGCCTCAGAATAAACTCAGAGAAAGGATGCAAATCAACTCTCCTCCTTCTCACGTGTACTTTAAAAAGCTTTTATAGCAGCAAAGATCTGCCAGGTGCTTTGTTTCTAAGACATTTGATGCTCTTGATAAAAGTGAAATCTTTCATGAATGTAACACGAACGTTGGGGTTATGTTGTTTGTGTACTTTATGGCAGTTAAAGCGTAAACAAAGAAATCTGGCAACTAGTTATAAGAGTACGCTTGTGATATGTAAAAAAGTATTCAAATTATTTGAATTATTTCAGTGTAACCTTTTAAATGTCCAAAAAATAATAAGGAAAATGATGACTTTGAAAAGCACACTAAGAGTTCCTAACTTAAAACTATTTTACATACAATAAAATAACATTTATTAAGCATAAAGGGCTGCGTTCCTCATTCTGACTGTAATTTAGCTCAGAAAAGGCTTGAAAACAAAATATTTCTGTTTATTTTTTACTAAAAACTTCACAGTAAGATGCACAAAACAGGTCATAGATCATTTTTAACCTAATGTAAATTTATCCCAATATAAACTATGATCAGGTCTCTGTTTCATATTTTGTGGATTTTTATAATTTTCTACTTACACAGGTTAGTGTCATTGGGCCTTGTTTATATTCACAGTGCATAATCTAGCTAAAAATAGACAGAAATGAAAAATGTACCAAAGTAAATCTTTCTCCTTTCCCCCCACACAGCGCTTACATAAAGCTCCTCACCCACTGGCATCCAGCCTTTACGTCACTGCCACAGTCGGCTGTTGTCAAAGCTGTGCTTGTTTCACAGCTCGTCAGAAACTAGGGGTGCTTTCCAAAAGTGCCTCCTATGTCCTATTCCTAACCTCTTTTAGTGGATAGGAGAATCAATATGGACTTAGGAAAAGAGAACAGCCAGATGTGACGCCAGATGTCCACTGTTTTGAATATTCAATATAGAATAGAATAAAATAGAATAGGCCTTTATTGGGTGCTCCACACCAGTTGCTTTGGCCTCTGTCACATTGACTGAGTGAAGGTCTCCAGTTCCTGCTCTCCAAAGATGGACCAGTCTGTGAGATCAAAACAGTCCTAGAGCTGGAGGAGAGCATGGCCATGTTTTAATGACCCAGATGTTTGGAGGGGTTTGTTTCCTTAGGGGGTGCAGGCAGGGATACAGTAAGTGGACTACAAAATGTGCACACTTGCCACAGCGTGTGGAGGTCAAATGACAGAACAGCCTGTGAAAAATATTACTTTAATATAAATGTTGGCATTTTAAAGAAAAAGTAACATTTAGGGCCTGATTTATGCCTGACTTAGACTTCTGCAGGAAATCTACTTAGTAACTTATGATGTAACCTTCAATGCCCTTCAGTTGTTGCTGGCTGTCGACCAAACCTGTAGTTACAGTTCTGGTGAAGTGCACTCCGGGTTAAGTGGACGGTCAGGACGTAGGGTTGTGATGTTGTAAGTTACCATGTAGATTCTACACTATGACCCCAGTCCATCAGTTTAAATATATTAGTTATCCCTGATCTCATCTTATCATATCTCAAATGTTATCTTTAATTAAAAGTGACTTTTATTATTGTAGATGTCAGATTATGTTACGTTGTCCTCCTGTGTCTGCTCTTTCTGCTCTTCCACAGACAGAAGACCAGGAAGGCTGCAGGACCCGACGGTGTGTCCCCTCCTGCCTGAAAGTCTGTGCTGATCAACCATTTTCAGCTGCATCTTTAACAGGTCTCTGGAGTTGCACCATCATCCTAGTCCCAAAGACATCCACCATGATACGATTAAATGACTACAGGCCTGGCGCCCTGACGTTTGTGGTTATGAAGTCTTTTGAAAGAGTGGTGTTGAGCCACCTGAGGGACATCACAGACCCCCTGTTTGTCCAGTTTGCCTACTGGGCAAACAGACTGGCCAAGGATGCAGTCAATATGGGACTTGACTACGTCCTGCAACACCTCGACCAACCTGGGATATAAACCATTATGTCTTGGCCTTCAGGTTAACCTGAAAGCTCACCAGTTTACTGTGCCCGTCTCCACCTATCAGTGGATCACCAGCTTCCTGACGGACAGGCAGCAGCAGGTGAGGCTGAGGTCTTATCATCGTCAACAATACTCTCACTTCAGATTCCTGGGATGGTCCTCACATATAGAGTCTGTCGTGACGAAGGCCCAGCAGAGGTTGTACGCACTGCAACTCAGAGTCCAACCTGCCACAGGAGCTACTGTTCATCTGCTACACTGTCATCATCCAGTCTGACCGGTGCTAGTTAATTACACCTAATACTGGTCAGAATATAATCAGGTATAATAAAAATTATTAGGTGTATAGATGTACAATATATATGTACATTAACAGGTGCCTGTGCCACTTTTATTTTAACTATGTTGTTTATTTCTTGTTTATTTTTATTCTTTATCACCTGCTGTAACACAACAATTTCCCCGTGGGATGAATAAACTATCTCTCTCTATCTAGTCGCCTCAATACGAACTAAATTAAATGACTGTAGATTTCTTTCCTTCATAATATTTTCAAGTCCACAATCAACAGCCGCTTCATGAGTGTAAATATGCACAACAACAAGGCGCAAACTAGGTGTTACACTCAAAACAGGAAGGCCAAATTAGACTGTGGTGGGGTGTGGCCTGCGGCATCCTTAATCACGCCCGCCCAGGTAAAAACACGGGGACTCAGGGGTTGGGGTGTTGTGATGTAAATAAAATGGCTCAAAGCACTGATCCCTGGACCCGCCGTGCCTCATTCACTCCACATACTTTGCCAGAAAACATTTAAAGCCTCCTTAGGCTTGGAAAAAAATTTCTTTGGACAGATCAAACTTGTACCACAATGATGGAGAAGGAAAGGAAGTAGGTTCAGATTCATACATCTTCATCTGCCAAACACAGTGGAGACAGTGTTATAACATGGATTGTCTCCAAAAGTTGATTCAGTTCATCTGGACGTAGCGTTTTGTGGGAGAAACGTTTCGTCACTCATCCAAGTGACTTCAGCTTTCAGTCTTATAAACAGTACATTTGCATAATGACTGAAACCAGCCCACTGAAGGAACAATGGGCTGG